CATTAGTGTTAGCTTTCCATTTCTCTGGACCTCTCCTGCCTTGACCCCAAGGAACTATGAATCTGCTTACTCTTTATATCCTGAATTTCATACAAAGAAAAACATACAGAAACCAAAAGCAGAACAAAAGAAACAAACCAAAAAAGCCAACAACAAAAACAAAGTAAAACCTCGATTGAAAAGAAAGAAAACAATAAAAACGTGGAACAAATGCAGAATGGGTCAGAGGAAGAACAGATGATAAGGCAGTAAATGTTAACCCGACGACATCGCCGTTAGTCCCCTTTCCCATGCACTCTGCCTGAGGGCAGGGCTACTCACCTCTCTGGTCAATGGTCAGAGGGGATTCGGAGGAGGCTTAATGACTCAACAGGTGGATTTGGGGCATCACTGTCACCCATAGCCTTCTGCAAACTAGGTGCTCAGAATTTAAGGTCTAATGCTGTTCTCTCCTCCAGTCTTGACTTTTATTATTTACAATCCTTGGGTCACATGGGCTGATGGTATTCTATCCTTGTAGACTTAGCTGATACGTTACTTAGATGGCTGCTTGTTTTAAGACAAGCCTTTAAGGCCCCTATAGTGTTTTTTCTGATAGCCGGGCACCATTATTTTTATAGGTGTAGGGATACGGCTCCCAGCTTCTTTTGAAGAGACATGATCCAATCCATAGTGGGAGGTGTACAATAGTTTCAGGGATCTGCCAAACCCTGAGAGCTTTGAATCAGCATCCAGGTGCGAACTCTGGCTGAATCTTGCTTGTTGGCTAGACACTCCACCACAGGACTGCAAAATTCCTCCTCAGGGCCAGATGCTAAGTACTTAAGGCTGCATGAACCATGGAGTCTCTGTTACGACTACTGTAAGCTCCTGGCTTACTGAGATATCCAACCTCCTAAGTGCCCTTTAACAGTATGGAAATTTGTCTTCACTTTGAAAGGTTTGAAGCAGTGGTTCTCAACCTTCCTAATGCCGTGACCCTTGAATACAGTTCGTCATGTTGTGTTGTGGTGACCCCCCCAACCATAAAATTATTTTCGTTGCTACTTCATAACTCATTTTGCTACTGTGATTGTTCGGGGGGCCCCTGTGAAAGGGCCATTCTCCGACTCCACTCTTTCATCCCAGGCAGCTTCCCTTGCTGCCCACGCAGCCGTAGTCCCTGAGTAGCAGGCTTTCCTATGCAGCTGGGGGGCAGGAGGGCTGCAGGTGTCCTCTGTCCTAGAGCAGCAGCTCAAGCTAATATGGATAGGAATCCGCTGGAAGCCCTGTTGGAATGAGGATTCTGATGCTGGGGCTCTCGAGGGGGACCTGAGATTCTGTGTTTCTGACCAGCTCCCTCATGCTGGTCATTCCTGATCATCTAAAGATAGCACTTAAAAGACCCGATTTTAAAATGCCCGTGACAAATCCTTTCCAGAAGGTGCTGCTATCCTTTGGAATAGTCATAAAAGTCCTTGAAGGACGTGCAGGTGTTTATCTCGGAGACAAAGAGAACTGGCCATTTTTGATAAAGCAGATGTTACGGATTTGGCCTCAATAAAAGCAGTGACCTCCTGGTGGGGAAAAGTTAAACAGTCCTACACGGAAATGCCAAGCTGCTTGTGCGTGGCCTCAGTTTTCTCTTTGTAACAGAGTGACAATCCAGACACAAAGGTGTGTGGGGACTTGGGAAGCGTTTGAGAAGCCTTTGAGGACAGTCTTTCTCAGGTGTGTGGTTTTCCTTCTCTACCTCCCACCCCTCACTGGGGAAAAACTTTGGAGTCCCAGGACCCCCTCCCCATCGCCCTACCTCCACCATCCAAAGAATCAAAGTTGGCAAGAGCCGGGAGAGCTGGCATCCCCAGGGCTCCTCAGGTGAAGGACATTGCCCTGGGATTTTGCTTGAAGCCATCCAGCAAGATATATTCCCTCTGAGGTCAATGGAATCTTTTGACATGCCCAATTAAAATGTAGCCTTTTTTTTTGGTTGAAGGGAACTGGAACAAACTCATCATCATCATAATCCAGTAGCAAGTCTGTGCCCTTTGGACACCAGTACTGGCTCTAATCTCGTTATCGAAAGTCTGTGCCCTGTGACATCTGATTCACATGGCACGACAAAACTTGGTGGCTTCAAACGAGCAATATGGATGCTCTTGGGCTGGCTCCTCGAGCAGCCTGGCAGTGGGCGGCCTGCACATTTCTGGCTGCAGGCCTTTGTGCGAGCGTTCAGTGGCGGTGGTGCCATGACCTGAAGGCTCTCTGAGGCCCAAGAATCTGCTTCCGAGATGGTTCCCTCCCACACCAGACAGGGGCTCTGGGCAGGAGACCTTAGCTCCTACCCTATGGATCTGCCTCACAACAGGGTCACTAGAGGGTCCTTAGGACCCGACACCAGTCTCCCTTGAGTGAAGGATCCAAGACAGAGAGCATGCAGCGTCTCTTACCAGCTAGCCTCAGAAGTCCCCTTCCCTCACTTCTCTGTATGTATTCTTCATTGGGCCGTGGTCGAGAATGTACACAGCAGGACACAGAGCACTTCAGCAACATGTGCAGAGGCAGACCAGTGGTACCGATTTCACTCTTGCAGTGTGGGTCTATCCTCACCCTTGAAATGTCCTCCTCCCAGTCACATCAACTCCCTGCACCCATGCTTCCTTCCTGTGTGATCTCGTGAGTTGTTATGGTCAGGTGGCCGGGTTCCTATAAAATGAGGTGGCAGGTGGGCTATTTCCTGTCTGTTCTAGCTCTCTAGATGAGTATCCCATATCTGAGTAGATAGTTCTTAAAGGAGCGTAATGTTCCAGGCAGGCATTCTTGGTTCGTGATGCCAAAGTATCTGGTTCTAAGAAGACCTTGGGATGTTTTTGATTTTAGCTTTCAAGGTTATCTTAGAGCGATCGTTTCTGGAGTTGGGCTAGCCTCTCTGGCTCTAGAAAGTCGAGTTCATGGGAATGTGCAATTCTGGTTGGTGTTTTCCCCACTGGGTCAAGATTTTCTGCAGACTCTTTGATCAAGCAGTTCAGGCATGGTAGCGGGACACTCCCAAGTCCTCTGGTCTCCTGGCAGAGCAAGCAGTTCTTCCCGGAGGCAATAGTCCCGCGTTCTAGTTCCTCCTGTTTCTGACTCTTCCACTTTCTCTGCTGCTCCCGGTAAATAGAGACCAGTTGGTGTGCCCTGGATGGCTGCTCTTGCCCTCTATTGATCACACAGATCAGCCCTGATATATTGTAGCATGAGACTACTTGTGTTAGGTTGGGTTGACTAGAGAAACAAATCCAGAGACACTCATGTATGTGTAGGAGAGAGCTTTATATCAGGAAAACGTCCCAGCCCTGTCCAACTCTAGTCCTTAAGTTCCACACTAGTTCCTAAGTCCCTCTTCAGACCCATGCACCACATGCAGAATGCAGAACGATCACAGGCCGGCGGGGGTGGGGGTGGGGGTGGGGGTGGTGTATCCAAAGTTCATGGAAAGCCTGGCAGGGTTCCGGCAACTCTCAGGGTGGCCGGCAAGCAGGAAGGTGAAGGCAGAGAGAGAGGCTGACCTCCAGAGGTCACACCAGGTTATTAGGCTGTGACCTGATTGACAGGCTAAACTCTACCCATATCTTCTTACTGATGCCATGTTGGCACCAAAAATGTATCACCCTGCCAAAGAGTGAAAATGCCAGGAGGTGGGCATCACTGGGGCCCAGGTGTTCATCTCATTCATCTGCCTTGATAAGGGACTAATCTCTCCATTTTGCAGATACGGAAACTGTGGGTGAATGAAGTGAAATAACTTAGATATGGTCACATATGTAGTGAATGATAGAGCTGACACCTGAAATTGGGGTGTGGTAGTTACATATCTAGTGTCAACTTGCGAAGGGGTGGAGTCTACCTTGTCAATCTGGTCACAGCATGATGACCTCATTTGGAGGCGCCATGGGATAAACAGCTCACTGGAAGCCAGCTACACATAGACTCTCTGCTTCAGCTTCCTGCTGACGAGACACATGGACCTACGCTAGAGCCCTGGAGCTAGAGGAGCAGTGTGGAGACCCCTGCCAGCATTGAGATGCTTTCACTGCCACTGGATCCACAAGCCTTTCCACCCACCAGCCTGTGATCTTCCTGCATTCAGCATCATTGCATGTGCTGCATGAGTCTGAAGAGGAATTTATAGATTGGTATCAGACAGATGGGCTAATACCGGACTTGTAGACTTGATCTCGACTGGGCTGGGATGTTTTCTCAATATATAATTGTTCTTTACATAAAGCTCTTTCATACACACATGAGTGTCTATGAATTTGTTTCTCTAGTCAATAGAGACTAACACATGGGGGCTCTCTGATGCCCCAGTAAATGACTGCTTGGTACGAGTAGCCTTGTCAGAGAATGCAGAAGGAAGGTCCTCAACCAGCTGTGTCAATCATCTGTTGACTTAAGAAAATGTACCAGGCACTTACTGCATGCCTGAGTTTGTTCCTGGTATTGGGGGTACAGCAGTGCCGTGAACAAAGTGCCAGTCTTCTGGGAATCCCTGGTTTGATAAAGGTACAGGAACTGCAGTAAGTTTTCTGGGCCATTCTTCTCAGTGTATACCATGCCTTGTACTGAAGGTTTATAGGGGTCATCCCATTGAACACAACCATTGTGAGCTGTAGAGTCCTTCTTCTTACTAGTGCCATCAAGTAGATTGCGACTCATAGCGTACTTGTGTGGCGGGGGTTACTTGGTGGTAATCCTAATGGAATTAGACCATTGGTTCTTTCTTCCACAAAGGCTCTGGGTGGATTTGAACCACCAGCCAGCCTCTGGTTAGCAGCTAAGCAGTTAGACATCTGTGCCACTAAGACTCATACTTTCAGTTACCTGGTTTCATAATCTAAGAGATAGACTCTAGCCAGATATTGCCCAGTCTCTCTGCGTCACCCCAACACTTGGCCCCTGGCTGGGTTGGCTGCTGGTGGGCTGTGGGGGTCACCTGTCAGGGCGTGGCTCATGATCCCCCTTTTTGTCTGTTTCAGAAGCACGTGTTCTCCGTGGACATGACCTGTGAGGGCTGCTCTAATGCAGTCAGTCGAGTCCTCAACAAGCTGGGAGGTCAGTGAGCAGCCTCGCCTGGGGGCAGGGCCGGTGTACAGCTCAGGTGCCTGCAGGCTCTGGGCCGGAGAGGCTGTAGTATACTCTGGTAGTTACCGGGCATGATAAATATCATCAATTTCACTGAATTGGGCACTTATACATCGTCTGTCTCTATGGCACATGCTTTGTTAAGCAGACTTCACTGCAATACAATTAGTATTGGACACTTAGCATGTGCCAAGCACTCTTTTGGGGGTCACATCATTTAATCCCCACCACAACCTTTTTCCCCCCTAAGCTTTGTCTTGTGAATCAGTGATGGTACACAGAGCCCATCCGTTTTCTACTCCACAGTCCGTACGCTTTTGTTTTTGAATGACTTTTTATTGTGCACGGGGAGGGGGGTTACATCCCAGACCACCAACTCTGCATTTACCAGTTCAAAACACTCACCAACCGCACTGCCACCCTCCACCCCGACCCCCACTCACATATTCTATCCCACCCCCTCCCCTCTGACTTCTCTTGTCCCTCTTAAGGACCTCCATCCTCCTTGTCAACAAGTCAATACCGGTCAGCCTTCCAGTCCTTTGCTTCGGCGTCCCAGCCTGCCCTCCCCTCCCGTGGGAACCTCCAAGGCCTGTTCCCTGTGGGATGCAAGTCTTTGTGTTTTTGTTGTCTCTTACAGTGTCTGTCCTTTTGTAATTAACTAGCTTTACTCAGCCTATTGTTCTCCAGGTCACACTTTATTTCATTTCATGGATGCAGTGTACCATCCCTTATCCCACTTCCTCCCTCCTGCCTGTTCACTGTTTCCATGCCTCACCTTTCTGAACTTGGCTCAGGGATAGAGATGCTACTCTTTTGAGCTTAGATGGCTGATGATTATAAAGTGGGGGTAGTTCCCTGGTGTTACTGTCCCCCTTGTAAACCTGTCGATTATTTTCCTGGAAATTGAGACACGGAGTGAGCTCCCTTCCAGACCTGAAGGGTGAGTCAGGGCCATCTCGATCCAATCAGTACACTGGGCATTTTCAGGATTCTCCTGCAGGATCCTCCAGGTAGGTTTTGGACTATGTCTGTTTTAAACAGACAGGAACTGAAGTTCAGAGAGGTTAAGCAAATTGCTTGGGATCACACGAGGCCAGCCAGTCACGCTTCAGAGCCCTGGCTGTGCTCGTTACTCTGCGGGCGTCTCTAGTGTGGCATTTTCCTTAGGTGGCACATTTGAGCGTAACATTCGTCATTTTCCGCAGATACGGAAACTGTGGGTGAATGAAGTGAAATAACTTAGATATGGTCACATATGTAGTGAATGATAGAGCTGACACCTGAAATTGGGGTGTG